GTTAAGGAAAAAACATTAAGCTAAGGAATTTTTCATTAACTTCAGCTTTGTTAAATGAAAGCCTAATTAAGGGACTTTCAGGAAACTGAGGTCTGGATCCGCCAATGAACGCACTGACTGTTTGGTATAACTAACAGGTTTAACGCTGATCGCATTAGTAATTAATAAGGAAAGATAACATCAGTAAATCTAGCATTGTGCATCACAGTTTGCGGTAGAATATATATCAAGTGACGTTCCCATATAAATGGTATTTTACAATATTTCATGGGCATTTCTTAAATACGATTCCAATGAACGACATACTAGACAATAAAGTCCTTAATATCCACGAAAGAAATACCTGGTCATGTTATAATACAGAGACATAGAATAAAATAGTGCAAATTTAACATATTAAACGACAAAATAAAATATAAGTACATACATGTATATATATCTAATATGTTAAACGAGACACGGTAGAAATTAAATTATATATACATTGTATGTACTTTAATCCAGTTTTGAAACTGAGCGTTTTTCTGTCACCAACTTTCTAAATTCGTTGTTTGAATCTGCATTGAAAACTTAAACGTATCCGACGATACCGAATTGAGAAAAATACATTCGTTTAATGTTTTTCTTATTTTGTCATCTATAAGGTACAATACTATGTTTGTTGATTTAATTTACAATAAGATAAATATGTAAATGGTTACCTCCGTCTAACGGCAGCACAAGAAGTATGCCGAGTGTACAGGTGAGTGGTATTCTGTGGTATTCCATCGCTTACGCACAGACTGGGACGAGGAAACAACCAGGAATAACTTTAAGTCTGAATCTGTGCATCTTGTACTAATAAAAGTATGTCACCAATACCTGTCCGAGGTAAATTACTGAGTATTTCACATGATGTTCTATTAAAATGTTCCTCGTTCTAACTATAACGAAAATGTCATAGATCGTGTGCGGTTGTCTACACGGCTGCGACACGTAACACGCGACAATTTGTAGTGTATATCAGTGTTCTGACAATACGATATAGCCAATCAATGGAGCCGACAAGTCAAACGCTCGGGTTCAATTGTCTTCTGGATCGATTTGTGTCATTGGTAACGACCACGGTAACAACTCCGATTCTGATACACGTTTACATTAAATAGCGAACTTAATGATACCCCGAGAGTTTATCCCGTCGGATTCCATGTATCAAAATGACATCTCGTCAACCTTTCCGGCTGTAATCCGAAATATCACTTTCCGATTTTTTTTTTTATTTCATCTGTAACAGAAATGACTATTTATCAGGAAACATATATCAATCTGAAAGTGCCGGACAATATTTAGACAGTATAAATCAAGACCCGGTCAGGGCCTAAAGGTTAGTCAGCTTAACACGTCATTAACTTAAAGATTCAAAATGCAATTTTCCAGAAGTATATGAAAAAATACCATATTTATGTTATTCTTGACTTCGTGTGAATATCTTGAGTTATGGTAGTTTAAATTTGTTATGAACTTCATTTTTTTGGGAAAATAAATATATACTTGATGAAGGTTTTGACCCTGCAGGTAGGGCGTAAGAATTGTACCTGCAGCCCCCAATTGCATGATCGTAAGAGGCGACTAAATTTGGGACCTTATCTCTTCTCTCCTTTCTAAATAACTTTCTTCTTCCTAATGTCTCCTTGACAATGCCTCACTTTTGGCCATTTGTTGAACGTTCGCCCCTGTGAGGAAAGCTTTGGGTTCTGTCCCCACCTGGCCGAGACATACCAAAGTCTTTAAAAATGGTAGTTTATGCTTCTGCTTAACGCTCAGCAAATTAGGAGTGGGACGACTGGTTCTCCCGTTGTCAGTATAATGTGACCGGGTGAGGCGTCCTGCTGGGTGTCTTCGGCAGTATGTTTCAGTGAGGTAGCACTATAAAGTCGGCATCAGTTCCGCGCTATCACAAGGAGACAAACACGTACATATCGCAGCCTCCCAAAACACACACACATACAATACACGCATGCATCTTGCACACATGGGAGGCCGTCCTCAAATGACCTTAGCTGTTAATAGGACGTTAAACAAAATCAAACAAACAAACAAACAATGATGAAGGTTTGGCAAAAATACTTGGTGAATGTGTTATGTCTTATTTTGCCAATAAGTTAACCATGCTTTGTTAGCTGGGTGAATGCCAACAAATGGGCAAAAGTGAGGCATTGTCAAGGGAGACATTAGGAAGAAAAAAGTTATTTAGAAAGGAGAGAAGAGATAAGGTCCCAAATTTAGTCGCCTCTTACGATCATGCAATTGGGGGCTGCAGGTACAATTCACCTGCTGAGAGAACAACAGTTTCGTTTACACTCATCACAAAATTCTTTCTTTCCTTCTGCAACGAATCTTTAGAACAACCTGAATAACGACATCCGAAATTCACCCTCATTAAATTCGTTCAAGTCAAATGATAAAAGGTCCTTGTTGGTGAACAGTAATTCAAGTAAGAAATTTGTTAATTATGGATCTAGGAAGTTAAATATATTCTTCACTGTCGTCTAAGAAACCGAGCAAGCCCACTTAACTATGATCTTTTTATAGCCAACCTGATAGATTCAGCAGAGTGTCGATGTGGGCATCCCTGTGAAGATTCTTACATTTCTTACTTTTTTGTCCCCTATATCAGAACTTACGTAGAATATTATATACAGATCTAGCATGGTATGATGGTGTTATTGATGTAAACATACTCTGTAATGGTGATGATCATGTTTCTTCCTATGATAATAATAAAATTGCCAAATCAGTACAAAGTTTTCTAGGTAGGTCAGGAAGATTTGACTAATTCTCTGTTTCTCTATTTATACCCTCACCCCCTTTCTCTATCCCACTCTCTTTCACCCCCCCC